TGTCAGCCCCCAGACATGTGGGCTCTGAGCAAACCTCCACCCCCAGGCCAGCCGCATGCAGGCCAGAAGAGCAACAGCCTCTCCCCGCCCTTGCCAGCTGCCTGTCCTCTGCGAGTGGTGCAGATTGTGGAGCCTAGGCAGGTACAGCCCAGCTGCGGCCTGTGTTGCCTGCCTCTTGAGGTCCCAGCTTTCTTCTTGGCCGTGTGACACCCAAGGCCTCCTCCGCACAGCTGAGTGGGCACTAAAAATTTGTGGAACAACCTAGAGTTCCTGTCTCTTTTTGTAAAATTAGAAGATACCTCAGGAATGGGCCTGAATCCTGCAGGACAGCAACTGGCTGGGGCTGTGGAGCCGTTGCCCATTTTTGGAGCATGAACACTCCAGCTCACCAAAGTTGCTATGATCCTCCCCTGCCTGGCCCCTGGAGAATTCTGAGTCTGCAACCCTGGAAACCCATGCTTTCAGACTCTTGTTCTCTACATATGTATGCATATGTGCATATATACCCATTCACGCATGCACACACCTTGTTAATGTTTTCACAAAATGGCCTCATTCAGCAAAAGCTGTCTGAGACCATACAGACCAGGGGTCCTTAAACTTTTTAAACAGGGGGCCAGTTCACTGTCCCTCAGACCGTTGGAGGGCCAGACTATAGTTTAAAAAAAACTATGAACAAATTCCTATGCACACTGCAGATATCTTATTTTGAAGTAAAAAAAACAAACAGGCAAAAACATTCACATGTGGCCTGCGGGCTGTAGTTTGAGAACACCTAATACAGACATTTTCCTTTAACATATTATGAATCCATTTCTATCTTAATAAATATCTATATCCTGGTTTTTTAAAATAAATGTTTTAACTTTTGAGTGATTTTAGATTTACAGCAAAGAGGCCGGGCGCGGTGGCTTACGCCTGTAATCCTAGCACTCTGGGAGCCGGGGTGAGCGGATTGCTCAAGGTCAGGAGTTCAAAACCAGCCTGAGCAAGAGCGAGACCCCGTCTCTACTATAAATAGAAAGAAATTAATTGGCCAACTAATATATATATATAGAGAAAAAATTAGCCGGGCATGGTGGCGCATGCCTGTAGTCCCAGCTACTCGGGAGGCTGAGGCAGGCTTGAGCCCAGGAGATTGAGGTTGCTGTGAGCTAGGCTGATGCCATGGCACTCACTCTAGCCTGGGCAACAAAGCGAACTCTGTCTAAAAAAAAAACACAACAAAAAAAACCTCATAGATTTACAGCAAAGTCACAAAGAGCACAAAAAAGTTCCTGTACACTCTTCTCCTGTCTTCCCCCAGTTAATGTCTTACATAACCCTGGTACATTTGTCAACACTGAAAAATTAACATTAGTAAAATATAACTAAACCACAGACTTTATTAGGATTTCACCACTTTTTCTACTAATGCCCTTATTTTGTTCCAAGATCCCATCTGGGATCCCGCATGGCATTTAGGCTACATCACCTCCTTAGGCTCCTCTGGGCCCTGGCGGTCTCTAAGTCTTTCCTTGTTTCTCACAACCTTGACAGTTTCGAAGTTACTGCTCAGATATTTTGTAGAATGCCCCTCATCTAGGTTTTTCTAATGTTTTTCCTGTGATAAGACCAGGGTTACCAGTTTCTGGGGAAAGAACCACAGACGTGAGGTGCCCTTGTCACCATACCTGGTGATACAGCTTACCTAGGGGGTACCTGATGGCCACAGGGCCTACCACTGGCGATGTTAAGGAAGCGTCTGCTGGGTTTCTCCATTGTAAAAGTACTCTTCCCCCTTTCCATACTCCATGCTTCAGACAAAAATCATAAAGTGCACTCCACACTCAAAAGGGGATGAGAATTAAGCTTTACCTCTCGGAGTGGATAGTTATCTACATGTATTGTTAGAACCTGATTTCAAATGACAGAACAATATTCCATGTTATGGATCTGCCCTTATTTATTTTGCCTGTACCCTAAAGTCATGCACCTCTGTTACTCTCAGTTTTTCCTTTTATAAACAAAGCTGCAACTATAGCTCAACTTCAAATTCAACAAACATTTTTCAAGCAATTTCTACAGACACTCCATAGTCTGGTGAACAATGTTTTTGTACCTCTTTAATTTTTTTCTTAGAATAAATTCATGGGTCAGGATTGCTAGGGCAAAAGATAAGTACATTGTTAAGGCTTTTGATAAGTATCACTGAACAAAACTCCAGGAAAATTGTACTAATCTACTTGTAAAGTTGATCTTTTTTTTTTTTTCAATTTTTTTCCTTATCACAAAAATAATTCGTGGTTTTATGAGATAACTAGAAACTACTTACTGGATATTTAATAATATTAAAGATTAATTGTTGTTTTAGGTGTGATAATGGTATTTTTAGCTACTTTCTGAAAATAATTCTTATCTTTTACAGACACACACTGAAATATTTATGGATGAAACTGAACTTCATTATATGATTTTCTCTGTATCAATAAGAAAACAAAAGCATCTTAACAATTTTTAAAACATTATTTAAATCTAGAGCTGAGGTGCAAGTCCCCATTCTTTATCTCCTAGAGTTAATTACAATGGACAGTTCTGTGTAGGCACCCCCTGACCTCTCCATACAAATACTAACGGCATATATTGCAGATACATGTGTTCTTAAAACAGGAATGAGCTTCCATGGTACACACCATTTTCCCACTGGCTCCTTAACTTCACAATACTTTGCAGACAGTTGGCCATTTCAACACTATCTCAGTCTCTAACAGCTTCATGGTACTCCCCTGTATCAAAGAACCATAATTAATTCATCTAATCCCCTCATGGTGGACAACTGGAGTGTCCCCAATTTTCTGCTATTAAGAACAATGATGCAGTGAATATCCTTGTACATAATATATCTCTGTGTACCTGTGTGAACAATTTTACAACCTATCTTTTTAGAAGTAGAATTGCTAGGTCAAAGGGGTTGCATACTTAAAATTTTAATAGAATGGTTAACTTGCCCTTTATCTATGTCCAATGCATGACATTCTCTCCTGCTACATACCTGAAGACTACTGTCATTTGGTGCCTGCTATAGAAAAGCATCACAGAGTCTCAGCTGGAAGGGGTCTTGGATATCTTTTAGTTTCCTCCCCAGGGCCAGCAGACTGAGTCTCAGGGAAGGCAGGGCCCACCCCCACACTCCCATTGGGGCAGGTGTGCAGCTCCCTTGGCTGGAGGCCGTGTGGAGCAGTGCTCATGAGGATGCTGCCCACCTCTGAATTCTAGTCTTACCATTTACTGTTTGTATGACCTTGAATAAGGTACTTGTCCTCTCTATGCCTCAGTTTCCTCATCTGTAAACTGGGGGTAATACCAATCTTTTGGTGGCAATTGGGGAGGGGCTAGGAGGTTTTTCTCCAAGCTGCATTTGTACCATTTTAATTAAAGTATATGTTCATTTGGGGTGGCTTTGGGAGGAGAGTATAAAGGACCTGCATCCGGCACCACATGGCACTGCCAGAGCTGACTTCAAATGGGGTTAGTGAGCTCATACGTGAGGGATGCCCAGCACCTGGCACAGAGCCCAGCACTGTCAGTGCTCAATGACCATAAACCCTTAGTGCTGACATGGTGGCTGACAGGCTGGACCAGAACAGGGAGACTGACCTTTTAGAGAGACTGGCCAGGAGGGGAGGCCCAGGAAACAGGAAAAGAGGGAATCCAAGAGAGTTGGACTAATCTGGCCCACCACTTGTTATTGTAAATTACGTTTTATTGGAACATAGCCATACTCGTTCATTTATGTATTATCTATGAATGCTACCAGGTGACAATGGCAGAGCTAAGTTGCTGTCACAGAGACCACATGGCTTGAAAAGACTAAAATATTTACTATCTGGCCCTTTACAGAAAAAATTTGCCAACCCTTGGCATAGGGATTAGAGGCATAATAATAAATGGTGACAGTTACTCAGCACTTACTATGCTTTTGAGACTATCTTAAACACGCCACATATACTAATTTCTTTAGTCCTCATCATAATCCTATGAAGTGGCTACTATTTATGGGAGATGGCCACAGTGACCCTTGTCTCCTGGGATTCACACCCCTGTGGCATCCCTCCCACCTGGAGTCTGGGACAGCCCATGCCTTGTGCTAATGGAATGCGGTAGAGTGCCACGCCTAGCCTTTAAGAGGATGGGTAGCTTCTGCTTCCTCTGGAAGTGTTCCTTTGGAACACTTTGGGAAACCCTGAGATGCTACGTATGAGACCTCATGTGCAACAGAAGGGGAGGCCACAGGGAAAGGAGAGGCTCTGAAACTTCGAGGAGAGGTCAAGGGGCCCAGCTGACCCAGTCTCAGTCCAGCCTCCAGACGACCCCACCCCAGCTACCATCCAGATGCATTTGCACGAACCACCCACAAGTAAGACCAGTGGAACTGCTCAGCAGAGCCCAATCCACCCACAGAATCAGTAGACACAATTAATGATGCTTACACTACTTTTGGTAGGGGTGGGGATGGTTTTCTGCACCAATAGCCACCTGGGATGTGATCATTACTAGGATTACCCCAGGTCTACTGGACCTTGAAGCCCTTCTTTTCCACCCTCCCTTATGCAGTGGTTTGCCCCACAGCGTGGATATTAGAATTCCCTGAGGCGCTTTCACAGATCCCAATCAAATCAGAATACTTGGGAATGGGGACCCCAGGATTTGAGAATGATGGCTCCATCCATTGTTTTCAAAGTTTGCCTAGCACACTTATTTAAAAAACAGATTCCTGCACTCTAACAGATAGACTGATTCCATGGGAGGGCCCTGATAATCTGTAGCATTAACACATTCCTCCAGATGAACCCTATTATCAGTCATTAGCAGAGAAATGGAGACAGGAGATCCCAGCCCTCAGGTGTGGGGAAGTGTTTGGCAGTTTCTTATCAAGTTAAATATTCACTTACCAAAAACTCAGCAATGCCCCTCTTGGGTATTCCCAATAGACATAAGTACATCCACCACATGACACACGCGAAGATGTTAGTACCAGCTTTATTCATAATGGCCACTCACAGGAAAATGGATAGACAAGTTGCAGTACATACACACAAGGGACCACAGGCAGCAGTGAAACGGAATGAAGTACTCATACGCGCAGTGTCAGTGTGGATGGCTGGATTTCATAGGCTTGCTGATGAGTGAGAAGAGCCAGACACAGAGTGCTGATTCCACCTATATAAAGTTCAAGGGCGGACAAGACTAATCCATAGTGAGGAGATCAAAACAGTGTTTGCTGCTGGGTGTCTGTAAACTCTGCTCCTTCACAGGATGCAGGGAAGGCTTCCCAGGGTGGCAACCAGGGCCACAGAGCAGGACTTATCTGCACCTGATAGGCCCACTTGATAGGCTTTCCTTGCTTGCTTATTTATATGTCTATTTGAGATGTACATCGTACATTGAGACGTACACAGTAACGGTGAACAAAACTTAAGTGTACAGTCCAACAAATGTTTACATGGAGGATTGAACCTCATGTAAAGTGCTGTTTTAGGCTCTTGGAAAGGGACCCCAAGGCAATAAGACCTGTCTGTGTGGATTTTGTAATCTGGTGAAGGGGATATCACAATACAACGTGGAAGGTTCTGTTTTCACCCATTCATTTGTCAAGTGTTCTTGAGCATCTACTCTATGCTAGGTACTGAGCCAGGCATGGGAGATGGCGTAGCAACCAAGACCCAGGCCTGCCTTCAGGGCTTTGGAGAGCAGCACAATAAATGGTTAAACCCACCTTTAGGTGGTATTCCACCACCTAAACATTTTCCAAATTCATTCTCCTCATCTCCCACCGACCCTGCCCTAGCTCAGGCTGCTACCTTCTCTGCTCTGTGGACTTTCATAATAGTTTCCTGATTGATCACGTTTCCAGTCTTCTGTGTCTGATTCATTCTCCTCATCAATAGCCCCTATGTATGTGCTTGATCTAAAAACCTCAAAATTGATGAGTCCCCATTTCCTAGGCAGTTCTGGTGCTGGCCTCTGTGGGTCGAATCTTCACTTACAGGGTTCATAATTGTGACCATAAGCAAGTTCCTGCTGTATCCTGAGCCTCGTGTGTGTCTTCTGTAAAATGGAGATGAAATAACATTAACAACAACCACACCTGTCTCCCTGAAGAGGTTGAGCTCGCACCCATATCTTCCCAATCCCTTGCATGGCTCATTCCTCCCGCTTCTCTGCACTACTCAGTAATATCAAAATGCTTCTGTTCATTGACACACCCTCTGGTTCCAAGGCCTGAGAGTCTCTTCTTGTGCTCCTATGTGGAGCAACCTTCTCTCCACCTTCTCTGGCTGGTCATCCAGCCACTGCCTTCTCTTGGAGCCTTCCCTGAAGCTGCCCACAGGCCTGCATGCTGCTCATGTGGGCCCCCCACATCCCAGATGGAACTAGCTGTTTGCCTCCTGTTTCTGTCTGTCTCGGCTGGCTTGAGTGTGAGCGTCTGCCGGGCCAGCAGCCTCTGAAGAGCTGAATCAGACTCCTTTTTACACCCCAGCTGTGGACCTGGACCCCACCCGTCCACGGTAGGTGCTGGTGTGTCTACTGACCTGAACAGAACATGCCAAGCATTTTTTATTTAAATTTTATTTTATTGCTTATTTTATAATTTATTTATACTTGTCTTATCTTCTTTTTACCTCAACCACACTGGAATGCAGCCAAACATTTCTTTTAAGGGAGGTGGCCTTGAGGCATGGGTAGGACTTCAAAAAATTTTTATTTTAAAACAAGTTGTGCATGTGCACAATACCAAATTGAAAAGGAGCAAAAGGGGAAATTCAAAGTAGGTCCTCTCTCAACCACCCAGCCCCTCCCTAGAGGCCACCACTGGCATCAGTTTCTGAGTATTCTGTTCAGGCAAGAATTGCCAGCCCTCCCCCAACCCTTACCTTTTATTTTGCAAAAATTTAAAGCAACAGAAAAGTTGCAAGAATAGTACAACAAACACCCTTTGCTAGATTCACTAAGTAACATTAGCCACATTATGCTAAATATTTTACAAGCATTATATCATTTAATACTCAAAACAATGGTACAATCATGTCAATTTTGTAGATGAGTTCACTGAGGCACTAGGCAGGTTAAGTGACATGCCCAAGGACGCAGAGCTACCCAGGGTGGAGCTGGGTTTCCCCCTTAGGCTGCTGTGGACTTTGATCTGCCTTCCTACAGCTCCCTGTGGAGGAAAGCATTTTTTTACACCAACTTGAAATCTACCTCCTTGGGTTATTCACCAGTTGATCAGTGGAAAAGTACACAGCTCTGGGACCATTTGCTACTCCTCCTAAAACCTCCGTATTCCTTAAGCAACAGCTGCTGTCCCTGCTGCTACCACATGCTTCAATGTCACCTCCCTTGTGAAGGCAGAGTTAGCTCACTCCTGTTTAAAAATTCTCCATGGGCCGGGAGGTGGCTCATGCCTGTAATCCTAGCACTCTGGGAGACCAAGGCGGGTGGATCACTCAAGATCAGGAGTTTGAAACCAGCCTGAGCAAGAGCGAGACCCCGTCTCTACTAAAAATAGAAAGAAATTAATTGGCCAACTAAAACTATATAGAAAAACGTAGTCGGGCATGGTGGCGCATGCCTGTAGTCCCAGCTACTCGGGAGGCTGAGGCAGGAGGATCGCTTGAGCCCAGGAGTTTGAGGTTGTGCTTGTGGAAGCTAGGCTGCGCCACAGCACTCACCTAGCCTGGGCAACAGAGCAAGACTCTGTTTCAAAGACAAAAAACAAAACAAAACAAAACTCTCCATGACTCCCGACTGCCAGCCAGATGACATTTACACACCTGGGCTTGGAATCCAAGGCCTGGTGATCTGGGATCAGGCCCTCTCGGAATCCCTCTGGCTTCTTCTCCCTCCTCCACCTCCAGCCTCACCCAACCTCCCACAGTGCGCTTACGTTTCCCCTCCTCCATAACGCCGTCCCCATTTTCCTAAAGAAGGCCTTCCCCCGCTCTGCGCCGCCTGGGCCTTCGACGGCCTTCTCCAGCTTGTCTCTGGTCAGGATCTGGACGGCAGGGAACTGCAGTGACAGCTCAGCCCGTCCTAGCGAAGGGACCCTGCACAAATCGCTCCAGTGTCTGAGCCCTCGTTCCCTCAAGCACAGAATGGAGGAAAGAATGCCTTGCTCAGTCCCTGGCGGAGAGTCGACCGTCACTACTCTCCGCAACAGAACTGACCGCTCTTCATGGCCGCGGACATCGTCTCTCAGTCATCCCGCGGGGCACTCCCTCCTATTACTCACCTCCCTGCGCCTCAGCCTCCTCCTGTGTAGACGGGGACCGTACTGGAGAGGCCGTGGAACTTCTAGGAGCTAATGCATACGGAGCACTGGAGCGGAGTCTAGCCCCGCGAGAACGCCAACCGCGGCTCCTACGACGGGGCTGGCGCGCAGCCGGCGCTAACCGAATCGGTCGCGAGCCGGCCGCCGTGTGCCGCGCGCGGCGCGGGACTGCGACCCTGGAAGCGAAGGGACCGCAGAGGTGGGCCCGCCGAGGTGCCCCGCCCGGCCCCTCAGCTGTCAGGCGGGCGCCGCGGCGCCAGTCCACCAAACCTGAACGCCCAGCGTGCGCCCCACCTCCTCCGTCGCCACACGTTACCTTGCGCCGGCCGGACTTGGTCCCGCCCACCACCACCATTGGCCCAGGGGTTTCTTTGTTAGCCGGAGCGCTTCGCCGCCATTGGTCGGCGGGGCCGCGATCGCGTCGGGCGCGGCCGCCCGCGCCGCCCCGCGCCTCCCGGCCCGCGCGCGCGCCCCGCCCGAGTGCGCGAAGGGCCGCGCTCGGATTTGCTGGGTCGCCGGTCGCCGAGAGCAGCGGCGCGCCGCGGACCGGCCCGGCTGGCGGCGACCGGCGCCTGGGAGGCGGGCCGCAGCGGAGGCAGCGGGCCCGAGCCGCGTCATGGGCACGCGGCGGCCTGGCGGCGGCGGTGCGGGCGGGCGCGGGGCGTCGCGCGCGCTGTGAGGCCCGGCGGCGCAGGAGCCTCGGCGCGTGCAGCGAGCCGCCGCTGGCGGAGCGGGCCGGGCCTGCGGCGGGGCCGACGGGGGATGTGGCGGCGGCCGCGCTGAACCCGAGCCCGCCCGGAGCGCCGCCGCCGCCGCGCCGACCATGTCGGCGGCCAAGGAGAACCCGTGCAGGAAATTCCAGGCCAACATCTTCAACAAGAGCAAGTGTCAGAACTGCTTCAAGCCCCGCGAGTCGCATCTGCTCAACGACGAGGACCTGACGCAGGTGAGCGGGCGGCGGGCGGGCGGGCGCGCCGCCGGAGGCTACGGGGAAACTGACGCGGAGCAGAGAACCGTGCTTGAGTCCTGGGGGAGGGTTCGGGATGGGGGACAGGAAGTGTATTGATAGAGCCGGGACAAAGGGGAAATCCTCAAGTATGCCGAAAAATAACATCCTTTCCCGTTCCCATAGCCCTGCCGTGTGATTCATGCTTTTTGGGTGACTAAAAAATGCCTGGTTTCTCTTAGTAGGAACAGAGCGCTTAGGGATTGCTTGCTGCTTGGCAGGACCCCCTCAGAGTCTGTTTTGGGACGAGACTTCGACTTGTCCGTCCAGAGTGGCCCTAGGGAGGGGAATTGTCTGTGTGGACTACGGGCTTCCGTCTGGTGGACCCAGCCTGCTCTGTTTCTAAACCGTTGCCACTCAGGGACTGGAAGAGGTGAAGGGTCTCCAAGTCTGGGGAGGAGGGTCTTGCTCGTGAACTTAAGCTGAAAAGAAAGGCTTTGGTTGAGGAGAGAGCTAGGGACTGCTCTCCCGACCCTGCTCTCCGAGTTCTCTGCTCCTTGGTGGAGGAGTGAGACCTGTGGGCCTCCTTCCAGTCTTATCTGTCAGATGAAGGCTTTAGACTAGTTTAGTAGCTCCCAAACCTGCATCAGAGCCCTAGTCATTAAAATCAGAGTCCCAGGGACCCACCCTAGAGTGATTTAGGAGATGGGGAATTTGTGCTGTTAAAAGGTCCCCAAGAGGGGTAGTCCACACTGGCCTTTGGGAACCCTTGCACTGCTTGCCCTCAGAGCTTCTAGTGTTCCAGGATTCTAAGCCTTGTTTGTAGCTCTTTGGGATGTAGCTCTTTGGGATGCACCCTCCTTGGCTCCCCCTTCCCCATCTCCATCCTCTTCAGAGGTTCTTTTAACCTCCTGGATGAGGCCAGGGGAGCTGCCCTCACATTCCAGTCCTGTGTGACCTAGATGTAGCCACGCCTTTTACAGAAGAACCCCTTAGATGGAAAACATTTCTTTGAAGTGAACTGGCCTGGTTGTTTTTAATGCCACTTAAATGCACGCAGGGTTTGACTTGTTTACAAGGCAGACCACAGAGTAGGGTGGTAGGGCAGGGGTTATGGCCTGGAACTCGGTGACTTTTTCTGAGGTCAGGTTTCCAACCACTAGGAGAGACTTCATCGAAAACCAAAAAGCTAGACCAAATACTAAAGGCTGCAAAGTCATGGATTGTTAGGTTACCAAGGGCCTTAGAGACAGATGAGCTTGGGAAGAGCAGAACTCAGATTCCTTGGAAGGTGTTCTGTAATACAGGGGGTAGAATTTAAGGGAGAAGAACTTGCTTCCCTCTTCCTGTCTGGATGCTTTTTTCTGGGAAACAATTTATGTGGTGAGGATGAATCAGAAGACTTTGCTTCTAGTCTTGTCTGTCACTTTTAGCTGTGTGACCTTGAGCAAGTCCCTTTACCTTTTATTTTATTTTAATTAATTTATTTATTTTGACACAGAGTCTCACTCTGTTGCCCGGACTAGAGTGCCATGGCGTCAGCCTAGCTCATAGCAACCTCAAACTCCTGGGCTCAAGTGATCCTCCTGCCTCAGCCTCCCGAGTAGCTGGGACTACAGGCATGCGCCACCATGCCCGGCTAAGTTTTTCTGTATATTTTAGTTGGCCAATTAATTTGTTTCTATTTTTAGTAGAGATGGTGTCTTGCTCTTGCTCAGGCTGGTTTCAAACTCCTGACCTTGAGCTATCCATCCACCCGCCTTGGTCTCCCAGAGTGCTAGGATTACAGGTGTGAGCCACCCCTCCCGGCACCTCTATATATTTTAACTTCCTTATCTGTAAGTTGAAACTAGTGATCCTTGGCTTACCTCCTTCACTTGGTTATTGCGAAAAGAAATAAATGATATTTTATTAAGCTTTTTTTCTCTCACAATTTCACAAACAAAAACCAGAAAACTGCCCACAGAAAAGGCAAAGGTTGTTCTGAAAGAGGTTTTTAAGTTTCCTGGGTATTCTATGCAACTGCCTATTTCGGTAAATTTACACCTCACAGGAGCTGTTCTCTGATCCTTCAGCTTAGATAAACTGGAATGGAATCTGTCTGTTTGAGTAGAATCTGTTAAGATTTTTTTTTAAAAAAAGATCTGTTGATTATTAATTGGATTCAAGCGGGCAGGCAAACTTAAAATACTGTACTCTTTCACTGTATTCAAAGTTGAATTGTGGGTTTTGAAACAGGCCTGAGACTGGGGCACAATTGGAATGGTAGTTTCTGAAATAATAAGTGGGGTTATTTGTGCCGGGAGAGGTTAGCCTAGCCTTCTACCTCCTGGGATCTTTCAGGAAGAAACTGCTTTTGAAAAAAGAGGAGAGAGATTTGGGGCTGTTGCCAACAGCCTTCTCTGCTGCTCTCTGCATCCGCCCCCCCCCCCATCCTTAGGGCTCCATTAGAAAACCTCAGTTGGTTCTCATTGGTCTCCCTCAAGCCCCTGCTTCCTGCTGCCCCTCCCGGCCCTGAGCTTATTTTAGACCATCAGAGTTGGAAGATCCATCAGCAATCATTGGGACCACCCCCTCTTTCATAGGCAAGGACACTGAGGGGGTGGAGGAGGCAGTGAGCGTGAACAGCTTCTACCAGCTTTTGCTCTTGGGATGTCATCTTCCCAGAAGCAGTCATTTCTCTGAGCCTTCTGGTTTGAGCTTTATTTCCTCAGCTGTGGGTTTTGTTTGTTTTTCCCCTAGAGAAGTACAAAAACCTCTTCCAGGGACTGTTTTGTGGCATCAGACCTGGAAGGAGACTTGGAGATTGGCTAATGTAACCACTTCCTTTTAACGGTGAGAAGACTAAAACCCAGAGAAGGGAAATGACTTGTCGTCCAGTTCAGGGACAGAGCCAGGATTCATAAGCCACCCTTCTTTCCCCTACTCCTATTCAGGGTCTGCAGTGGCCACTGCATGAGCACGTGATGAGGACGGTAATGTCAGGGGTGGTCATGTTGCAGAAGGTTCTTGAGTCTGCTTGCTTAGAGCAGAGGAGTTCTTATTTCTTCCTCACCGTGGGAGCTCAGCATGATCTGGGATAAGTAATAAGTGACTATCCCTTATTACTTGTCACCCACCCTCCAGTGCCAGGAGTGCATTTATCCTTCAGTCCTGTGCATTTGTCTTAGACATATGGACTCAGATATATAATTACACCTTCTTTAATACAAACTGTGTGCATATATTTGCTCTGCAGTGTATTTTTTCTGCTTAACAATATGTGTTAGAGCTCTTTTCATGGTGTTACTGTAAGTATACCCAAATCATTTTGCATATTGGACTTCTAGGGATATACCATAGTTTAACCCATTCCTTTATTGATGAACATTGAGGTTATTTATGGATTGTTGTCAGTGCTTCAGCAAATAGCTTTATAAATGCTTTTGAGTGTGTGTGTGCGTGCATACAGGCTTGGAAGTATTTCTCTGAGGGCAGATACCTAATAATAGAATGGTTGGGTTGACATTAAGCTCATTAAATTTTTTTTTTTTTTTTTTAACAGATATCACCAAATGGCCTTCCAAAAAAGGCTGTGTCGTAACATTTTCAGCACTGGATATTATCAAATGATTTAATTCTTTAATAATTTCCCTAATTACCAGTGAGGATAAGCCTCTTTTTATAATACTTTTTAAAAAAAATTATTTATTTTTAATATGAAGGCATGAGGGGTTGTGAGGAGGGGGTGTTCAGTTGCCTTGTTTTTGTTGAGACAGAGTCTCACTCTGTCTCCCTGGGTAGAGTGCAGTGGCATCATTGTAGCTTTCTGCAACCTCCAACTCCTGGGCTTAAGTGATCTTTCTGCTTCAGCCTCCTGAATAGCTGGGACTACAGGCACTCTCAGCATCGCCTGGCTGGGTTTTTAACTTCTTTTTGGTAAGGAAGGAGTCTCGCTCTTGCTAAGGCTGGTCTCGAACTCTTGAGCTCAAGCAGTCTTCCCACCTCGGCCTCCTTGAGTCCTAGGATTACAGGTGTGAGCCACCTGTGCCTACCTGGCCCTCGTTTTATAATACTTGAGTAATTTCGTTTCTTTCGTGGATTGCCTGTTCATATTATTTTGCCC